AGGCTGTTTTGACTACCGTGGTGGTATAATAGGTTCTAAAATCAGGTAGTGTGAGGCATCTGGGGACCTTTTTCTTTTGTTGAGTGGTTTGGGAACATTGTAAGAAGTAATGAATAGTTGAAATAAGGAAGAAAGAGAATGTTGAAATCTAAGTGCTTTAGGGGAAGAATGGAATCATGAAGTACTCAGCTCATCCGTCAGAGTCTACAACATGCATATTTGCATAATTGTGGAAATGGATCAATCTTAAAAAAAGATAGCATTTTAAAAAATTACTTTGTTTCATTATAATTTCTAAAAAATTGTAAGCATATATAAACCCTTCCAGGAGTATCTTCCATTTTTAGCAGTTGATTTAATTACTCAGACAGTCTGGTCCAGAAGATAAGGTTGATTTCCTCAATTACAAAGCAGTGCAGAGCAGCAGAAGGTATACATGAAATGGGAATTTAAATACCAAACTTCATATTTTCTGTTAATAATAATCTGCCAGGCATTGTGCTAAATACTTCATATTTAATATCTCATTTAATTTGTATAACAGTCCCATAAAGGTACTACAGTGAAACCTGTGAGAGTTGAAACTTGTTGTAACTGCCTTGTTTTTCTGGGTCTCAAAAATTTTCTGCCTTTGACAGGGTGCAATATTACCAGTTTTCTATTGCTCTTTCTTGGTGGGAAATGAATTTTCCTTCTCTGACAGTTTTCCGCTTTACACAGGTTCCAGCTTTTGTGGGTTTTACTGCATTATTCCCATTTACAAATGAAGTAACTGAAGCTAGATAAATTATATAACCTTTACAGGATCACACAGCTGGCAAGAGATAGAGCCTGGATTCGAACCTCTGTCTGTCACATTTCCAAGAGTGCTCAAAGACTAATGTTTTTGACTTATATTCATTAGTTTTGATAAGGTTTATCTAAGAATTAAAGCATTTGAAAATTAGATTGATACATGTGATTTATATTTTTCAAAGGGCTGTATTGTGTTATCTCATTTGACCTTCACACTGATTGTTGCGTAGGGCAAGTACTATGCTGTTTTCATGGACGATGAAATTGCGGTTTAGAGAGTTACATGATATTCTCATAGTCCTGTGGCCAGCCAGGGTAGATCGCAGGTCTCCCAACACCTGAGTGCTGTTGTATA